TGGGCCAGGATTTGTCCATAGTCGGGTTTGGAGTCCAAAATTTGGGATTTGGGAATTTCTGGAGGGGTCCAGGGGGGGTTCCCGGCTCGGAGCTGCTCCAAATTCCTTAAGGAGGGAAAAAATGGGAATTAATTTTGGGGATGGCAGGTGGGAAATGTGGGAATTTTGTGGTTCCAGGTGGGAATTTTAGGATGGCAGGTGGGAATTTTATGGTTCCAGGTGAGAATTTGGGATTGCAGGTGGGAATTTTGGGGTTCCAGGTGTGAAATGTGGGAATTTTGGGATTGCAGGTGGAAATTTTGTGGTTCCAGGTAAGAATTTTGTGGTTCCAGGTGGGAATTTTGGGGTTCCAGGTGGGAATTTGGGATTGCAGGTGAGAATTTTGGGGTTCCAGGTGGGAATTTTGGGATTCCAGGTGTGAAATGTGGGAATTTTGGGGTCCCAGGTGGGAATTTTGGGGTCCCAGGTGGGAATTCTCACCTGGAGGCCTCCTGGGAGTGCTGCAGGTGCTGCTGCAGGAGCTGATCCCAGGCCTGGAGCTCCCCTGAGAGACTGGGAGGGGAAAAAGGGGGGACAGGTGAGGGACAGGTGAGGTTCAGGTGTCCCCAAGTTTATCCCAGGTGTGTCCCCAGGTATCTCCAGGTGCCCTCAGGTGTGTCCCAGGTGTGACCTCCCCACCCCAGATGTGCCCAGGTGTCCCCAGGTGTGTCCCAGATGTCACTTCCACACTCCAGATGTGCCCAGGTGTCCCCAGATTTGTCCCAGGTGTGTCCCAGATGTCACCTCCCCACTCCAGGTGTGTCCCCAGGTGTGTCCAGGTGTGCCCAGGTGTGTCCCAGATGTCTCCAGGTCCCCCCAGATTTGTCCCAGGTCTCCCCAAGTTTGTCCCAAATGTCCCCAGGTGTCCCCTCCCCACTCCAGGTGTGTCCCCAGGTGTGTCCAGGTGTGCTCACCTGGCCATGAGAGCCTTCACCTGAGCCACGGATTCCTCCAGGGCTGGATCCAAGGAATCCCTGCAAGAAAAGAATCCAAAATTTCCCAAATTTTTGGGCAAATCCAGAGAAAATTTAAAAAAAAAAAAAAAAAAAAAAAATCCCAAATTTTGGGGCAAATCCAGCCAAAATTCCCAAAAATTCCATTGGAGAAGTTCCTGGATTGCCTCAAAAATCAGCCCCAAAATCCCAGGATTTTTTTTTTGGGGGGGGGGGGGAAATTCTGGGAATTTGGGATGGAAGGGAAAGGCAAAGGAAAAAAAAAAAATTCCTGGAATTAAGAAAATTCTGGGATTTTCGGTGATGGAGCAGTTCCTAAAAAAAATCTTCAAATTAACAAAATCCTTGGAGTTAACCCAAAATTCCTGGAATTGCCCCCAAATCCTGGGAATTTTCAGAGGATGGAGCAGCTCCTAAAAATCCCAAAATTGACCCAAAATTCCGGAATTTACCCCAAAATCCTGGAATTTTTGGGAATTCCAGGAATGGAGCAGCTCCTGAAAATTCTGGAATTTACCCCAAAATCCCGGAATTTACCCCAAAATCCTGGAATTTTTGGGATTTCCAGGAATGGAGCAGCTCCTGAAAATCCCAAAATTGACCCAAAATCCTGGAATTTTTTGGCACTTCCAGGGCCTTAAAATCCCAAACGTGCCCCCAAATCCCAGAATTTTCCAGGCTGGAAAAGCCCCAGATTCTCCCAAATCCAAAATTTTTTGGGGGGATTTCTTTGGATTTTGGCTCCTCCCAGCCTGGAAATTCCCAATTTTTGTTTTTTTTGCCCCAAATTCTCACCCTGGGGGTTGTTCCAGGCAATTCCCGAGGGTCCCATCCTGGAGCAGCCTCTGGAGCAACCTCTGGAATTCCTCAGAGCCCACCTGGACTGGGGGAAAAAATGGGAAAAAAAATGGGAAAAATGGGGTTAGAAACCACCCTGGAGTTAATTATTTAGCAATTATT